TCTTTTAAAATTCTGGCAGTTTAATGCCTACAAAACCGGCTGGTAGGGACTACAACAAGTTACTTCCCGGGTTCGTGACATCACAAACCCAGATAAACCCCGCCCTCGGGAAAAGGCAGCAAAGGGGGCGAGGCCATGCTGTGCTGCTTTAGAGAAGAGGAAGAGAAAACTAGAGGAGCACGTAAAAATCTATTCATAATGAATCGCGATTCTGTCTTCCAACGATTCTAATGGATTCACAAGTTTCAAAATCAATGTTCTAAAGCAGCGGTTCTTAATCCTGTTCCTCGCGTCCCCCTGCTCTGCATCTCTCTCGCTCCCTTTCTCTCTCTCTCCCTCTCATTCAACTCAGCTCCAACAATGAACTGTTCCAATTATACACAGCTATGAGAAGCGTTAAACATGGACGCGCATACAGTTGCCGTACTGTATTATAGCTTTAATCAGGATAAAACCGTATATTAAAAGCTAACAGAAGCAGTAGCATTTATAAATAAGTATCTAAAAGTATGAGACCACAACAAACATAAAACATAGGCCTACCATTAAAAGCCATGCTTGCACAGGTTCTGCACGATCCACTTCAATAATATCCTCTGCTTCTCAATCGGGCTCAAACTGATAAGCGATATTAAGGACGCCGTTGTTTACAATGCCACCGGAGCACATGCAGCTGGGGTGAGGGGCGGGCAGTTTAGACATGCACTAGAGGCGGTTTAGCCAATCACAACACACTGGGTTAGCTAACCAATCAGAGCCCATCGCCTATTTCTGAGGGTGGGGCTTCATCAAAGCAGGAAATGTGGAATAAAGGTAAATTATGTGAAAAAGAATGTTTTTTTTTAACTGCACTCCATAAACACAATCAAGCCTAGAAAAAAAATCAGTGAACCACCCCTTTAAAACAATTTTTAGAGGATTACTCCGAGAATTAAAATCTATTGTGCGCCCATCGCCTATTTCTGAGGGTGGGGCTTCATCAAAGCAGGAAATGTGGAATAAAGGTAAATTATGTGAAAAAGAATAGTGATGTAATAGTCATATATGTGTCACATTTGTTTTATTTTAAAGGTTGTTGTGAAGAAGTGACTCTCAGAGCTGCTCAACCAACTGGTCAATACTTGCCCCTTCATATTCTCATACCTCAGGTGTGTCTGGGCCTTGCAGTTGAGAGCCGGGGCGTTTGGGAGCCAGCGGGCTGCGTTTATTTTCTGAAGCACGTAGGTTTGAACTTGTTTTTGTGTGCTGAGCGGCCCGGTGAGCAGCAGTGCTGGACCGGATCTGACCCGGCAACATGGTGGCGCGCTGGGGCTGGGAGGCGGCAGAGCTCTGGCTCGAACTTGGCGCAAGGGAGAAGCGGCGAGTGTTCAGGGACTCCTGGATCTCACATGGCATCATGGATGCACGTCGGATCGTCTCATCTGGGTCACCCATTCGCAGGTCCTCATCCGTTACAGTGAATGAGGGTCCCAGACTGGGCTGTCGAGACAAAACGATAGTTTGACTCTGGTCTTCTACAAACAATGCAACAAAAGCAAACTATTCCAAGCTTACCCTGGACTCTAGAGGGTAGCTGCTCTTCAAGTGAGGCAGACAAGCTTTGTTTCGCGTCTGTAGTTCTGCGATGCGCATCCAGTCATCTGCAGCATGTTCAGGTTCATTCTCTGCTCCAATACAGAACGTACTAGTGGCTACACAACACACAAAATAAGTTATTATATTACTATTATATTAAAGGGATAGTTCACCCAAAAAAGAAAATTCTGTCATTAATTACTCACCCTCATGTTGTTCCAAACCCGTAAGACCTCCGTTCATCTTTGGAACACAAATTAAACACAAATTTTTGATGAATTCTGAGAGCTCTCTGACCCTCCCATAGACAGCAATGCAAGTAACACGATCAAGGTCCAGAAACATAGCAAGGAGATCGGTAAAATAATCCATGTGACATCAAGGGTTCAACCGTAATTTTACCAAGCTACGAGAATACTTTTTGCGCGCAAAAAAAACGACTTTATTCAACTATTTATGGTGCCATTTTAGAGAGTATGCACTGAACGTAAACATTGGAGATGAAAGCACGCAGAGGAGATGAATTGTTGAATAAAGTCTTTTTTTTCTAATTTTACGAAGCTACGAGAATACTTTTTGTGCGCAAAAAAAACGACTTTATTCAACTATTTATGGTGCCATTTTAGAGAGTATGCACTGAACGTAAACATTGGAGATGAAAGCACGCAGAGGAGATGAATTGTTGAATAAAGTCTTTTTTTTCTCTTTTCTTTGCGCACAAAAACTATTCTCGTAGCTTCGTAAAATTACGGTTGAACCCCTGATGTCACATGGATTCCGTTTCTGGACCTTGATTGTGTAAGGACACTTGCTGTCTATGGGAGGGTCAGAGAGCTCTCAGAATGAATCAAAAATATCTTAATTTGTGTTCCGAAGATGATGTCTTACGTGTTTGGAATGACATGAGGGTGAGTAATTAATGGCAGAATTTTCATTTTTGCGTGAACTAACCCTTTAAGTTATTGTACATATGTTACACATCAATATTACTATAAAATATGAATTATATTTATTATTACAATCATTAAAACAAGAATATTAAAATAAGAAATATTAATATTCTCATAGCCTTAAATAGCAGCCTTTACAATTTAATAAATCACAATAAGCCATACTGCATTTTCACTTTTTATTTTGTAAAAAATAAATAAACTTTTTATTTCAGCTAGTTGCCAAGACAACATTTCTCATTTAATTTACCTGTTGTACTAAAAAAACTAACTAAATCTGAAATAAAATTTATATTTTATCATATAACACAAAATATAGAAAATATAAACTAATTAAAAATATAAATAAAAACTACAACAGTATCTCAATTATACTAAAATGTCACTGGTAATCCACAAAATTAACGGTCATAGATGCAAATAGGTAAGGGGGAAAAAAAGGTGAGAACCGGGGGCATGCTCCATATGGAATTTCTTTTTTTAAAAATATTTTTTATTACCTTATATGTCCAAAACTGTAATTTTTCACACACAAAAAATTACATTTTGTTGCAACATTTTACAAAAATCAAGATTGAATATATTTGGTCAAAATCCCATGTTATAAAAGATTAAATGCTATGCAGGCTATTTAAGACAATATTGGCTGATTAGACCTAAAACGCAAAATGTTTGGCCTCTCTCTCTTCCCTGTTCCCACATCTCAGACCTCAAATACATAAAATATTACCCTTTTTAGATAGTTTAGTAAAGAATGAAGAAAATACTATATAAAACTTACTAGCAGTTACCAAGTGGTTATCAGTCTTACTTCTCCAATACAAATAAGACCAGTTCACTTTTTCATAACTGAATATAAAAAGTTATGACCAGTCTGCAACTGGCCCCAGTTCTTTATTTACCCTTGTAAGATCGCAAGTAGCCCCCCCCCCCCATAAAACACTGTCTCATTGGATCTAAGCCAATCTCATAGGTGACCTATTTTGATCTCAGTTTGCATCTATGAACTGTAAGCAATGAGGTCTAATGACAACATTTCACCTCTTGGTGGGACAACGTTGTGCACAGTGCTTCTGCGATATCCAGGCAGACGCTGAAGGGTGTCTGCTTTTGATAAAATTGCTGTAGCACTTTCCTCTGAGAGGTCCATGGAGAATGGCCGTGAATGTTGAACTGCCAAGTTGGGCTGAGATCGGGCAGAGTGCAGACTAGAAAATGACTCATCGCCTTCAGCACTTCCTGATGCTTTCTAAACAAGCAAGAATAAAAGAACAAAGAACCTTTGCGACCCAGTACTAGAGAAGAAAAAAAAGAGACCTGATCTAGGAGCCACAAACAGTAGTAGTACTAGTCAAAGAGCATTTTAAGACAAGTCAGTTTACTAGGGATGTAACGATTCACTCAACTCACAATTGATATGATTTATGATAATGATTTTACAATACAATTTTCTCACTATTTTTTAACAAAAAATTAGTTTTACGACAAATTATAAATAAAAAGGTGTCTATTATTTCTCAGATAAAATGCTGCACATTTCTTTGCGAAATTTTAATTGTATATTTTTGAAATCTGAATGAGAGCGCAGTTTCACTCTCTGACAGCAGGTGGCACTTATGGGACAGCAGCGATACAGCATTTCCTTAGTTACTGCTGTAAACAAAACAGTGCTTATAACTACTACTTTAATATGCATTATACAGAGGCAAGAATAAAAGAAAACACCACGTAAACTTTTCTGAAGTCAGTCTGTTCCCCTCAGACATATATTCATATAAACCCCAACCCCCCAACTATATCGCAATTCGTTTAATATCTCAACCGACTTGAATCGTCACATTTTTATTGATTTTCAACTGGCTTGGGATGCGTCATTACATCCCTACAGTTTTCTTACCGGGTCCCTTTGGGAAGCTATATTCAGTCATACAAATACAACTTCAATCTACTTCAATGTGGAAAGAGCAAAACCTCATAAAATGCTTGCCAAACTCATATTTAAAAGAAAAATGTCTCATCGGCAATAGCACCTGAGAGGAACTGTCTCATAAATGTGTTTTCTTATGCTCAAATAGCTTAAAATAGCGTATATTCCAGGTTGGTTCAGCCAAAGTTTCATGTGAAGACCTGACAGTGATTTTGCTGATTGGCTCTAATTTGAAATGTGGGACTTACTTTACAAATAATTTTGTTTAACCCAATAAAGTGCAGAAGGCAAGTAGGAGGCTGTACATTTCCTACCTTAACCATGGTGAGGTTGATAACCTGCATAGTACGACGCCTGCGAGCCGAAGCGGTGAGCTTCTTTGCAGAGTCAACCACAAGATCGCCAATGGAAGTGATGCTGGACTGTAGTTTGTGCTCAAAAGCATCGTTGTAGTCCCCTTTACGCTTGATGCCTTGATGACTCATTGGCGTGAAGTAGAGAGTCTCCAGGGATTCAGCCCCCAAGGCACGACGTTTAGCGGCCAAACGCTCAGAACTACGTACCAGTGGAGTGCTGGATTCACCCGGTATTGCCGAACGACTACCAAATTGGGAAAAAATGTACAATGACAATGCATGAATTTCCTGGAATACAATGTGAGAAGCTTTTATGATTAGGTTCATTGCACTACCTGTTAGCGTTGAGCGAATCATTCAGCTCAAACTCCAAGCTGTCTGTACTGGTGTCCTGCTGTTTCTCCTGGACTCTGGTATACAGACTTTCTCTGTGTCTCATGTTCTCTTTGTCATTGGTCATCTTCTTCTGCTCTCGCAGTTGCCTGTCAGCAAAGTCCACCTACGACAAGCACACAATTAGACATGAAACTGGACAGGAAACTCAAAATTCAAAGTTTGATTCAGTCCCATTTCCACATTCTTTTAATATTAAACAGTAAACTAACTTGTGCTTCCAAGCTTTTCACTTTGGCCGCAAGGTCCTTCTCCTTGGTGCTCGCCTGGTCTAGTTCCATACGAATCAGTGTCAGTTCCGTCTCCAGATCTTTGACTTCCCTCTTGCTGGCCTCCAACGAGTGCTCAAGAGTTTTGTTCAGCTCCTGAGCCTCCACCAGCAGCTGCTTTTTACCGTTGTAGTGATTCTTGGCCTTCTCCACCTGAAAAAGTGTAGCAAGAGATGTCAAACTGGAGGTTGTCCAAAACAAATTCTCAGAAACATAAATACTCGTGAAAGAAACAGAAAGATCTAATTCAAAACAGACCTGTGCTTTGTAGTGCTCTACTGCTTCCGACTTTGTCTTCAGCTGCTCCAGGAGTTCCTGATTCTGTTCCTCACACTTTTGGGAAGCCTTTTTACGAGCAAGAATGGAACCATTTTGCTCCTCCACCTTCAACTCCAGCTCAGCTCGAATCTTCTGGGAGGCGTCACACTCCCTCTGGAGAGACTGGTTGAGAGAACTCAGGCAGTCCTTTTCTTGCCTCAGCATCTCCATATTCTGCTGGAACCCATCAAGTTGACGTTTGTCGGCATTAAGCTCAACAATCTTCTTCTCCAGATCTTCCTTTGAGTGTTGGATCTCAATTACATCTTTCTCCTTTTTTTGACACATCAGTTCCATCTTCCTCAGCTTCTGATCCAAAGTCTGAAGAAGTTGTTCTTTGTCTGAGACGTCATGATTGGTAGTTTCTAGTCGTCTCTGTAGGATTACAACCTTCTCTTCCAGCACTCTGCAGAGATCATCTTCAGACTGTTTGGCCCTTAACTGCTGATCATTTATTTCATCTTTAAGACAACTTATTTGAGCTTCCCTCTCAGAGGCAAGAGTGGACGCCTGTAGTATTTTAGCTTGAAGTGCACTTACATCCTTCTCAAGCTCCCGAGCCTTTTCTTTAAGGTTCTCTTGCTCACAAACAACTGAAAGCAACTGAACTTCAGATTCCTTCTGAGAAGCTGCAGTTGTCAACTCTGCCACTTGCATCTTAAGACCAACTAGGTTGTCCTTCAATGTGTTGCGTTCAACCTCTAAAACAGAAAACTCCTGTTGCTTCTGCACTTCAATTTCTTGGTAACTTCGGATTTCATCTCTGAGAGAGGTTACTTGTGTTGATAGGTTGTCTCTTTCCTTTCTCACAATTTCCAAATTCTGCTGGTACTCCTCAAGTTTTTGTTGTTTCTCAACAAGAAGCTCACCAATCCTCTTCTCCTGGTCTTCCTTTGAGTTTTGCATCTCAAGGACTTCAGTTGAGAGGGTTTCTCTTTCCTTTCTCACCATTTCCAAATTCTGCTGGTACTCCACCAGCTGTTGTTTCTCAACAAGAAGCTCACCAATCTTCTTCTCCAGATCTTCCTTTGAGTGTTGGATCTCAAGGACATCTTTCTCCTTTTGTTGGCACAACAGTTCCACCTGTTTCAGCTTCTGATCCAAGGATTGCAAAAGATGATCTTTGTCTGAGACGTCACAACTGGTAGTTTCTAGTTGTCCTTGTAGGGTTGTAATCTTTTCTTCAAGCACTCTACAGAGATAATCTTCAGACTGTTTGGCCCTTAACTGCTGATCATTTATTTCATCTTTAAGAGAACTTATTTGACCTTCCCTCTCAGAGGCAAGAGTGGAGGCCTGTAGTATTTTAGCTTGAAGTTCTCTTATATCTTTCTCAAGCTCCTGAGCCTTTTCTTTAAAGTTCTCTTGTTGGCCAACCTCCTTTTGAAGCAACAGAAGCTCAGATTCCTTCTGAAGAGCTGTAGTTGTCAACTCCATCACTTGTGTCTTGAAAGTAAACAGGTTCTCCTTTATTGTGTTGCGTTCAACCTCTAAAACAGAAATCTCCTGTTGCTTCTGCACTTCTTTTTCCTGGTAATGTCGGATTTCATCTTTGAGTGAGGTTACTTCAGTTGACAGGCTGTCTCTTTCCTTTCTCACTGTTTCCAAATTCTGCTGGCACTCTACCAGCTGTTGTTTCTCAACAACAAGCTTGTCAATCTTCTTCTCCAAGTCCTCCTTTACCTGATGGACATCTTTCTCCTTTTGCTGGCACAGCAGATCCATTTTCTTCAGCTTCTGTTCTAAAGTCTGCAGAAGTTGGTCTTTGTCTGAGACGTCTTGACTGGCAGTTTCCAGTTGACCCTGAAGGGATTCAACCTTCTCTTCTAGCACTTTGCAGAGATCATCTTCAGACTGTTTAGCCTTCAACTGATCTGTCAACTGATCTTGAAGAGAATTAACACAAGCCTCCCTCTCAGAAGCTAGTGTAGAGACCACTAGGATTTTAGCTTGAAGTTCATTAACCGTTATCTCAAGTTCCTCACACTTGGCAGTCTCAAGCTCCCGTGTCTTTTCTTTAAGACTCTCTTGCTGGTGAAGCTTGTCTTGAATCAAGAGAAGTTCAGAATGTTTCTGTGAAGCTGCAGTTGTTTCCTCCACCAACTTCTTCTCAAGGACAGCCATGTTCTCTTTTAACATGTTGCGTTCAACCTCTAAAACGGACATCACCTGTTGCGTCTGCACTTCAGTGTCCTGGTAGCCACGAATTTCCTCTTTAAGAGAAGTTAATTCAGTTGACATGTGGTCTCTTTCCTTCCTTAATATTTCCAAATTCTTCTGGCCCTCAGAAAGCTGTTGTGTCTCTACATGTAGCACAACAATCCTCTTCTCTAGTTCCTCCTTTGCTTGATGCGTTTCAATGACATCTTTCTCTTTTTGAAGGAAAAGCCCTTCCATCTCTTTGAGCTTTTGATCCAAAGAGCCCAGCAGTTTGTCTTTATCCACAGCACAACGATTGACTGTATCCAGTTCTCCTTGTAGTGTGCCAACCTTCTGCTCCAATTCTTTGCGAAGATCATCTTCAGACTGTTTGGCACGCGATTGTTGATCCTTCACCTCATTTTGAAGGGAAATTACTTGAGCCTCTCTCTGAGAGGCAATAGTGGAGACCTCTACAATATTGGCCTGAAGCTCATTCACCTTTTTCTCAAACTCTTCACGCTTGACTGCCTCAAGCTCCAGAGCTTTTTCTCTTAGGGTCGCTTGATGGGAAAGCTCCTGTTGAAGCAAGAGGAGTTGAGATTCCTTTTGGGGAGCTGTATTCGTCACCTCCACCAACTGGTTCTGAAGAGCAGACAAGTTTTCCTTCAAAACATTGTAATCAGCCTGTAACACAGACATTTCTTGTTGGGAACAGCAGATTTCTTCTTGGAGAGATGATACCTGAGTGGACAGATGGTCTCTTTCTTTTCTCAGCATTTCTAAATTCTGCTGGCACTCATCCAGTTGTTGTTTCTGCTCAATAATCCTCCTTTCCAGGTCTTCCTTTGCTTGGTGCATCTCAGTAACATCTTTCTCTTTTTGTTGGCACAGCAATTCCACCTGCTTCAGCTTCTGATTTAAAGACTGCAGAAGATGGTCTTTGTCCGCAGCATCGTGATTGGCAGTATTTAGTAGTTCCTGTAGATTTCCAATCTTCTCTTTCAGCTCATTACGTAGATCATCTTCACACTGCTTGGCCCTCAATTGTTGATCCGTCATCTCATCTTGAAGAGAACTCAGACAAGCTTCTCTCTCTGAGACAAGAGAGGTTACCTCCAGGATTGTGGCCTGAAGCTCACTCACAGTCCTCTCAAGCTCCTCACGACTGGCTTTCTCAAGCTCTTGAGCTTTTTCTCTCAGGGTTTCTTGATGACAAAGCTCCTGTTGAAGCAAGTGGAGCTCAGATTCCTTCTGTGAAGCTGTAGCGGTCACCTCATCCAACTGGTTCTTAATAGAAGTCATGTTTTCCTTCAACACATTGTGTTGTGCCTCTAAAACAGACAATTCTTGCTGTTTCTGCACTTCATTTTCATTGTAACGGCAGATCTGCTCTTTAAGAGATGTTACCTCCACTGACAGAACCAGTATCTCTTCTTGTTTTTCTGAAGCAATTGAAGAAGCAGAGTTGAGCTCTTGCTGAAGTTTCTTAACAGTGTCTTCATGCTCTTTGTGATTTGATTTGATCATTTCATTTATTTCAATATTGTGTTCCTTTACAAGCTTCAGCTCATGGCCTACATTGTCATACTCGCTCCTCAGATTTCTGATTTCTTCATCTTTTAGGGAAATCTGTTGGGACAGATCCAGAATTTGTGTTTGGAGACTCTTGATTTCTGTCAAAGCCTGACTAACCTTTTTCTCCTCCTCTGTTTTCTCCTGTCTGAGAATATTTATTTGCTCCTGAAGGTCTCCAGTGGACTGCAGATGCTCATCAAGACCTTGCTGCAATGTGCATGCCTTCTTTTTCAGGGATTCATTTTCTTGCACCACTTTCTGATGCTCTTCCAGCTTCTTCTCATAATCCTGAACTGTGGCTCTGGCACTTTGCAAGTCAACAATAAGGGCATTCAGAGCATCCTGCTGTGATGTTCTTTCCACTTCCAAACCCTGGATCTCAGCATGCAAAGCGTAAACCTTCTTATCTAAAGAGGCTACCTTCCCCTCCAGCTCCTCTCTCTGTTGGCGAAGGTCTGCAGAGATTTTGATCTCTGCTGTCAACTGCACTTCCACCTGTTGCAGGCGAGAAACGTCACTTTCCAGAGCTGATATTTGTGTGGTGAGCATTTCCTTCTGTGTCCATAAAGCCTCCTGCAGTGTTTCTCTCTCCAAACGGATGCTATTGATGGACAGCTCTAGATCGAACACCACCATTTGGAGTCTTTTGGTTTCCTTTTCAAAAGAGCCTCTCTCCTCAGCCAACAAAGCCTCAACTTCTGCCTTCTCCTTCTCAAGACGGGAAATAGTATCCTGAAGCTGAGCGAGTTTACGAGTCAGATCTGCCAACTCCTGTTTAAGCTTCTCCCACTGAGAAAATCAAGAGATTTAAAAAAAAGTTAGTCAAAACTAGACAACTCCAGTAAAATGTTTTCAGCTCAGTATTAAACTGTTGTATCTTATAATATTTCTAATTTCACAGTGAATCCATGTACTGGTACTGCAAGAACATGATGGTACTGCAAGAACTTCAGACTCTGATTAAACAAGCTTGTATTTAAATTTTTTACCGTCTTGTATTTAAACTAAAGGCAGAGCTAATTACTGATGAAAATGTTCAATCAATTTTGTTTGATATTGAAGACAAGGTGAAAAATGTGCATCTTAACGATGATTAATAAATGATTAGAATGAAAACATAGTTAATGAAATGACTAGGAAAAAAATGTATAATTGACTAGAAATTAACTCAGATTGGCAAATGCTGTAGAAATATTGGAAATGTTAGGTCATGTTAACCTTATTTAGCCAGCAGCTATATCATCCTACAACCCAAGACTGGTTGCCCACTGAAGAGAAGCAGGGTTGAGCCTGGCCAGTACCTGGATGGGAGACCTCCTGGGAAAACTAGGTTGCTGCTGGATGAGGTGCTAGTGAGGCCAGCAGGGGGTGCTCACCCTGTGGTCTGTGTGGGTCCTAACGCCCCAGTATAGTGATGGGGACACTATACTGTCAAAAAGCACCGTCTTTTGGAAGGGTTGTTAAACCGAGGTCCTGACTCTGTGGTCATTCAAAAATCCCAGGATGTTATTCGAAAAGAGTAGAGGTGTGACCTCGGCATCCTGGCCAAATTTGCCCATTGGCCTCTGATCATCATGGCCTCCTAACCAGCCCCATATGTACTGATATCCTCTCCACCAATAAGCTGGTGTGTGGTGGGCGTTCTAGCGCACTATGGCTGCCGACGCATCATCCAAGTGGATGCTGCACACAGGTGGTGGACGAGGAGATACCCCCTCACCAGTGTTGGGCAGTAGCGTCACTACTTGTAGCGACTACAAGTAGTGACGTTACTAGCTTAACTACATTTCTCAGTAACATCGCTGTTTTCTTAATCAAATAGCTTTTCAGTAGCGAAGCTCTTTATTTGATCAAGTAGCGTGGTAGCGTCAACAAAAGCTACATTACCCAAAGCATTTCTGAAACTCAAGCTCAAATCGGAAATATAAACGCTAAGGATCACTGATCCTGGATCAGTAAAAGAGACGCATAGCAACAGAAAACTGTGTAAACTGCAAGTTCACGAATATGTAAATGCGATGCCCGTACTGCCTTTGATGTGGCGTTACTGACGGGAAAAAACATTCGCTGGTCAAAAGCATCGTATTTGCACTTGACTTTGGTGAAATGTTAATAATATAATGACACATGCAACAATGCAAATAAACGTAGCCTATGTTATCCTATTTGTAGACCTATGCATCTATATGGTAACACTATACAATAAGATTTCATTAATGTTAACTAATTTATTAACTAACGTGAGCATACAATCAGCAATACATTTAATACAGTATTTATTAATCTTTGTTAATGTTAGTTAATGAAAATACAGTCGTTCATTGGTAGTTCATGTTAGTTCACAGTGCATTAACTAATGTTAACAAACAACTTTTGATTTTAATAATGCATTAGTAAATGTTACAATTAACATTAATAAATGCTACAGAAGTATTGTTCATTCTTAGCTCATGTTAACTACACTAGTTAACTAATGAACCTTATTGTGAAGTGTTACCATTTATATTAATGTATCTATATACAATAAAGCCACAATACCAACTACCAATACAGGGCTCTACAGTGCGACAATTTCAGTCGCATTTGCGACTGAAAACTACTGCGTGCGACTATGAAATATTTTTTAGGAGCACCAGTGCGACTGACCCGATCATCATCGTACTTGTGATTGCTCAGGGGAGCTTCAAAGCTTTCTATGTGTTTTTGCAGCGTTGGGTAATGTATCACAGACATATCTCATGAATCCTTTCATAAGTGTAGACAGGGTGTAAATAAGAGATTCATTGCGCAGTGTAGAGAGCTTCGTTGATTATAAATGTGAGATCGCGATGAACTAAGATGAGTGCCAGCTTTTAATGGTTTGTAAATGTGATACTGATTTAATACAATACAATTCAATAAACAAGAAGTTAATATTAAGTGACTTACATTGTCTGACTATAACACTATTGTCTGATTTAGCTCTATTTCGTCGTCGAAAATAGTTTAAAACAAAGACACAGCGGAGCCGCTGCGCGTCTCCATTCAAACACAGCAGTGCTTCGTTTATGAATTAACGTTTTTTTTATTTTTATGAATCTAGTGAGTCAGTGATTCATGATTACCCATTCATAAAGACAGTCACTTGCTTCATTCCTGAATGAATCAGCTGTTCGAATGAATCAATTGAATGAATGATTCAGTAATAAAAATCAGTGACTTACTGCCCCCTGCTGGCAGTTTGTTTCATTTTTAAAGTATCTTTTCAGTTATTTAAATTATTTAATATTTCTATATTCAAAATTGTATATTTAAAACATTAATATCATCATGAATTTATTGATTTAATTGCACTCATTCCACTTCTGAGCCTCATTAAATGTCTGAAAGTACACCAAGCCACTTTTGTGTTCTTCTGTGCCACCTCTACAAACTAATTTTGTTAATACTGATTTAATTTGATTGGTAACTTATATTTCTTATTCTGTCGTTTTAATTAAAATAAAAAAAAAATAAAAAATCTTTTAAGAATTTGACAGAAGATGACATACTTTTAATAAAGTTAGAGGAGTCAAATATCACCTCGTAATGGGAAGGCTACTTTCTGATAAAATTTTGGATAATTGTTTAGAAGGTGCTCCTAAAATTTTGAACGTGCTCCTAAAAAGAAAAGTAAGCGTAGAGCCCTGCCAATAGGAGGTTTCTGGCTGACAGCAAAAATTAATTTTGCCTATGTCACAATATGAGGTAAATCCGGCCCTGTACGTGATACTGATTTTTGTTGCCAAATTGGTTTGGAACAGTTGTTGAATAAACAACTAAACTGAACTATTGCCTGTCTAGCTGCTTGACTGACAGTTTTATTGATCACTGAGAGAGCATTGACTTGTTATGATATTGGTTAAAAAAAATAGCTTAGATGTAGTAAACTACTTTTGCCAAGTTGCTGTAGCTTAGCTTGCTACATTTCCCAGGGCTATAGCTTTAGAGTAGTGAAGCTTCATTTAATGAAGAGTAACTGTTAGCTTAGCTCACTACATTTTTCAAGAGTGCTTATAAAAGCGCTATATAAATGTAATTAATTATTATAATTATTATTTTTATTGTTGTACTAATAAGTCAGATTTGCAACAACATAACCATAATATTACACATTAAATTTTGTGATGCAAATGAACTTGAACTTAAGTAACAGTCACATTGTGAATGCACGCTTTCTGCAACATCAAACTAAAGTGCAGAAATCAAATAACTATAAATAACAAAATATAAAAATTTGTCAAAAAAAATTTCTGGCTGACAGCAAAAATTAATTTTGCCTATGTCACAATATGAGGTAAATCCGGCCCTGTACGTGATACTGATTTTTGTTGCCAAATTGGTTTGGAACAGTTGTTGAATAAACAACTAAACTGAACTATTGCCTGTCTAGCTGCTTGACTGACAGTTTTATTGATCACTGAGAGAGCATTGACTTGTTATGATATTGGTTCAAAAAAATAGCTTAGATGTAGTAAACTACTTTTGCCAAGTTGCTGTAGCTTAGCTTGCTACATTTCCCAGGGCTATAGCTTTAGAGTAGTGAAGCTTCATTTAATGAAGAGTAACTGTTAGCTTAGCTCACTACATTTTCAAGAGTGCTTATAAAAGCGCTATATAAATGTAATGAATTATTATAATTATTATTTTTATTGTTGTACTAATAAGTCAGATTTGCAACAACGTAACCATAATATTACACATTAAATTTTGTGATGCAAATGAACTTGAACTTAAGTAACAGTCACATTGTGAATGCACGCTTTCTGCAACATCAAACTAAAGTGCAGAAATCAAATAACTATAAATAACAAAATATAAAAATTTGTCAAAAAAATATATTTAAAGAAATTTACAGATAGACAGAACATCTCACCTCTATGATGGGCCCCAAAACCTCTCCTTTCTCTTGAGATTGAGCTTTCTGTAGTTCATCCTCCAGAACGGAGATCTTTCCCTGAAGTATCTGAACTTGCTCACTCAGACTCTCCTGCACGAAGAGAAACAAAAAAACAAAACAAAAAAACAGACTCAGATTAATACCAGAGAGTACAAAGAATACAGAACATGATAAGAATAACGATTGCATTCCAATATGTAAGAAATTATCTACCTTGTGTGTGACGGCCTCATTTAGCTCATTTTCCAGAAACTCTTTTCTGCTCTTCCACTCAGTTTGTGCCGATTCGTGAGCCAGTGTGAGTTTGGCAACCTCCTCCTCAGCTCTTGCCAGCTGAGCGAAGGCATTTCGCACCTGATGGGACCAGAGACAGGTAAAAATGATCTTCATCCTCCAGAACGGAGATCTTTCCCTGAAGTATCTGAACTTGCTCACTCAGACTCTCCTGCACGAAGAGAACCAAAAAAAACAAAAAAAAAACAGACTCAGATTAATACCAGAGAGTACAAAGAATACAGAACATGATAAGAATAACGATTGCATTCCAATATGTAAGAAATTATCTACCTTATGTGTGACGGCCTCATTTAGCTCATTTTCCAGAAACTCTTTTCTGCTCTTCCACTCAGTCTGTGCCGATTCGTGAGCCAGTGTGAGTTTGGCAACCTCCTCCTCAGCTCTTGCCAGCTGAGCGAAGGCATTTCGCACCTGATGGGACCAGAGACAGGTAAAAATGATCTGATCTGATCATTACTTTTAAGCAGAACTTCAAAACAAGGAAACAGCATTTCACCTGTGCAGTAAGTGTTCCATTCTCCTCTGTCAATTCATCAATCTTTCTCTCTTTTTGGGAGTTGTCTGTTTTTAAGTCTTGGCATTGCTTTAGAACCTCATGCACTCTGTGGAGAAGACTGTACAAGAAAAGAAAGTTACTTTAAACTAGAGCCCGACCGATATATCGTTTTGCCGATTTTATCGGCAGATATGAGCCTGTCACAGATATATCGTATATGCCACCGATATGAATTTGCATTACACCAAATACACAAAATAATGTTCTTTTTAGCAGCATCATATGACCCCTTTAAAGCTTAAGTGTATGGAATACCATTTAAATTTTGAACAGCCATATCTCCGTAACGGTGCAGCGGATCCGCACCAAATTCGGGGGATCCCTTCAGCTCGAGAAACCCTCTCGAACGCCGAATCAAGTGTATGTCTCGGGGCCCCCTATGTGCCCTGCGAAGTGGACTTCACATGATATTCCACCATGATTCCAGTTCGAAGGGAACGTGCAGGTTACATTCAAAGGGCATTAAAGTGCGCGAGACGTGAATTTAAATTTTATTTATTTATATTATGTCACACTTCTCTAGTAAGTTTCATCTGTGTGTGAAGACAGTAGCGTAAATCCGTGAATGAATGTTCCGAACTGAAAAAAACTTAATCGGAATAAAGTTGAATGGAATTGAATTGAAATAAAGTTGAATAAACATCAACTTTACTGTTCAGTGCACTGATGTCAGACTCATTTTGGATAATAAAGTTTATTGTTAAATTACATATCTTTGTCACATCATTATAAGTGTTTGATCACCATTTGAGTGATCATGGCAAAAAATGTGTTTATGTATATACTGTATTCTATATATAGTACCAGTCAAAAGTTTGGACGCACAAATGGGAAAGTGTCCAATCTTTTTACTGGTACTGTATTATAATATACACAAAGAATATCGGCCGATTTATCGATCTCTGCCTTTTTTTACTCCCTAATATCGGTATCGGCCCCCCAAAAAAACATATCGGTTGGGCTCTACTTTAAACAAACATTTTTTTCAATTAATTACTGGAAACCTAAATTTGAGAAAAAGGCAGTCCGGTACTAAAACCACACCCAGTTCCGGCGGTGCGAACACGCCGAAAAGTGGGTAGTTCCACAATTAGTTCTGGTACTATGAAAAGGTTCCTGCGGTGCGAAAGGCCCTAATCTGGCGCTTCTGAATCAGCTACTGTTTTGCACATCTTATGTGTGTGTGTGTGTGTGTGTGTGTGTGTGCGCGCGCTTGTCGTGTGTGTGTGAGAGAGAGAGTCTCTGTGTGATACAAGGTCACATCACAGTGGAGTCAGCTGTCTTAACCGTGGCTTTGTCCATTAGAAGAAGAAAAAAAACACACTGACCAGTCCGAGCTGGAAGCCACTGTACAAAGCTCTTGAAACTGAACTCTGGGAGGCCGTTGGGATCGGCCGACGATCGGAGACTCGTCATCTGTGTATAACAGCGAGCTGCCGCTGCTTCCACTGCTAGAGTTCACAGAGTTCATAAAAGCTACAGAAAGCGTGCATGGGAGAGATAGATGATTAATAGACGAGCATAGATTTAATTTAACATTATCCAATTCACTAAGCAATGTGACTACTTACAGTCTTGGGCTAGAAACTGATCTAGACCTTCGTCTAAAGACAGATCATCAGCATCATCTTTTACAAAACGAAACATGGATGTAACTTCCGACTGACACAGACAGAGAAAGAGATAAATAAGAACCTATGTTAGAGAGTGACAATTTTAAAATTCAATATCTGTTGCAGTAATACTAGATATGGAGCTAAGAAAAGCAAAGCATCTAGTAAGCGGTCATTAGTAAACACTCACCTCTACATTTGAATCCATTGGGAGCAGAATGCCCTTTTTAAAAGTGCAGTAACAAAGCAAAAGCGCCACCTGCACACATACATTAACACAAATAAGTGCACAACATTTGACCTGCATTATCATTAAAGGAACAATTCATCCAAGAAATAAGCTTGGTATAAGTGACCACAGTCACAAAAATTTAGAGAACTCAGTAAAGGTAATTTCTTAAATTTTGGTCTGTTCCTCATACAAAGCTTCAGAAAACTTAGAATATAGGAGAGTAAGTCAGTCATATTAACCACTTTAATGTTGCCTTTTTTATTAAAGCTTGACAACATGCGAGTACATTAAAGCATGTACTTGTTATTAGTTTAAGTATTTGCTATTGACTGTTCAAATGCGATTCGTAATGAGATTATTTAGTTTTTGTTATGCAAAAACATTTCCACACATGCAGCATAAATACAAAGCTATGATTAGCATGTCATTTTCTTTTTGATACCACAGAACCCAAATATGATCACTCATGCAATCGCCCATCCTAATTATTGTTTTGCAGTATTATAATAATATTATTAATATATTGCTTAATGTAATTTTATTACTTATTATTACTTAATTTAATACAAGTATTACTTATTTTTCACCTGTTACTACTTAATTTTAAGTAATTTTATAACATATTTAATGTATTTACTTTGACATCATTTTATAATAATTTTCATTTATTTACTGTTTTTATTATTTATTTAGTTTGAACGCCCCTGATTTAGAGCACAAATTTATACCTTAGCAAGCTGAAGCTCCAGGTCAATCCCTTCACTGATCTTCTGTAAGATGAGGGAACTTTGTCTTTTGGTGAGGTGAAAATCATCTGCACATGTAAGACAGAAGTTGTAAGCAAGGAAATACTATCTTTAAAATAGGAACATTTATATATTTCAAGCATACAAAAATACACACATATACACATCTATAGGGTCACACACACATATACATATATATAGTGTGTGTGTGTGTGACCCTGGACCACAAAACCAGTCATAAGGGTCCATTTTTTGAAATTGAGATTTATACATCTGAAAGCGGAATAAATAAGCTTTCCATTGATGTATGGTTTGTTAGGATCGGACAATATTTGGCCGAGATACAACTATTTGAAAATCTGGAATCTAAGGCTGCAAAAAAATAAATGTACAAAATATCTTCATGGAACATGGTCTTTACACACACACACACAACCGGTCAAAAGTTTGGGATCAGAATGATTTTTATGTTTTTTTACAGGAGTTTCTTATGCTCATTAAGGCTGCATTTATTTGATCAAAAATACAGGAAAAATTTAATTTTGTGAAATATTATTACGATGTAAAATAATGTTTTTCTCTTTTAATATACATTAAAATCTAATTTATTCTTGTGATGCAAAGCTGTATTTTCAGCATCATTACGCCAGTCTTCAGCGTCACATGATCCTTCAGAAATCATTCTAATATGCTGATTTATTATCAGTGCTGGAAACTGTTGTGCTGCTTAATATTTTTTTGAAACCTGTGATACTTTTTCAGGATTCTTTGATTAATAAAAAGTTAAAAGAGAAGAGCATTTATTTAAAATATAAATATTTTCTAACAATATACACTACAGCTCAAAAGTTTGGGGTCAGTACATTTATTATTGTTTTTTTTTTTTAAAGAAATTAAAAGTTTTATTCACCAAGCATGTGTTAAATTTTTAAGAAGTGATAGCTAAGATTTATATTGTTAGAAAATATTTATATTTTGAATAAATGCTGTTCTTTTTAACTTTTAATTCATCAAAGAATCCTAAAAAAATTGCAGTTTCCAAAAAAAATATTTAGCAGCACAACTGTTTCCAACATTGATAAGTTTAATAATAAATCAGCATATTAGAATGATTTCTGAAGGATCATGTGACACTTTATACTGGAGTAATGTCTGATGGAAATTCAGTTTTGCATCACAGAAATAAATAATATTTTAAAGGATATTAAAATAGAAACCATTATTTTATATTGTAATAACATTTTGCAAGATTACGTTTTTTTTCTGTATTTTTGATCAAATAAATGCAGCCTTGATGAGCAGAAGAGACTTCTTTAAAAAACATTACAAGTCTTACTGATTCCAAACTTTTGACCCATAGTGTATATATATATATATATATAAAAATGTAAATAACATTGCTGTATCTTGCATATCATGCAAATGCTAAAGGACATGGTCATGACAGGAGGAGAGATTACAAAATAGTCACATTCAAGTGCCTTTCCATAATGCTTTTCAAAATAATTAGGCCTAGACACAAAAAAAAAATATTCTGTGTTAATCAACATTATGCAACAAATACTGTCAAACAGAGCATAATTTGTCACTTCTAAAACTTTTCTCATTAATTTCATAAAACGTCCAATCGAGCATTATTATCTATGACAGCTGATGCAACGCCAGGGATGCAGAACATATGCATCAAATTGTAAAAAGACAACATTTTGAAACTCACCATGCAAAACACTGAAAATGATTTCCACTTTCTTGTAAAGGGATAAAGTCTTAAAATCCTCAGTGCTCTCCGTGCCCCTTCTAAAGCAACAGATAAAGCATGTCAGAAGTAAACCGGGTTAGTGCTAGTTATAAAGGTATTTCCATATTTACCATCCAAGAGTCTCAAAATGGCAACTCACAGTTTGAAGCAGATCTTCAGGAGTCTAATCCCATCTCTCATGGGAACGAACTCACAGACATGCTTCTCTGGAAACACGGTATTCATCTGTCAAAAGAACAACAGTCACTACAAATCATTGGCTGACTCGAATCAAAGTAGCCAATGGAAACGCAGCTTCTTCCGCAACGCCCCTGTAGGAAGTTTTTCAAAAGTCGACGCTTTTTGCTGTCGTTATAAAACGCCAAAAAGTAATATATTCCTCTTATGGTTTTAGAGATTTGAAAAGATAAAGTTTAAAGCCATGTCTTATGATGAAACAGACAGAGAAAGTGAAGTAAGTACGAAAAAGAAACCGCCCGAAAAGCGAACGGACTACATCTCCCAGAATCCTATGCTACTCTAATGGTTTCCATAGTAATTTTGTTGGGGTCCGCCCGTAACTGTTACTGGCGTGACCCAAAAGTAGAACACTTAAAATTTACGATGAGAAGTTTTTAAAATTACAAATTTATTTGGGTTTACATTTGATTGCCATTGTATGTAAATCCATTTTTTTTGCTCTATGGCCTTTTAAATCTTATTGCAATTTTTTTTTTTTAAATCTTGTTTTCTGCAGTCTGGAGGTTGGAACATGTTTGGATCTCCAGTGGATTTTTCATTTAGGGAGCTCAACACAGTTTCAGGTGAGTTTCTACCATAGACTGTATAAAAAGTTCATACTTTTGAAGTTATGGTTGATTGCTCTTCGGCTGGATATCAACACACCCATTAACGTAAACTACGCCAGAGCACGTACACACCTCACGTGCGCACGCTCAAAGCAGTTGGACATAGTGGTGTATACATTAAAGTGTGACAAACATGCAAAAAAAATAAGAAATCAGGAAGGGGGCCAAGACTTTTTCACACCACTATAGATAGACAGACAGATCTAGATATATAGAAAGAGACAGACAGATAGATAGATAGACCGATAGACAAACATGCATATAGATAAGACACAGACAGATAGATCGAATTTAAAATAAGGTCCCATTAGTTAAAGGTGCTGTATGTAGGATTGACACAGAGTGGTTGAACTAGGTATTGCAGTCCAAATTCAAAATATTGGAGAGGGTTTTTTCACCCGGCCCCTCCTCCTCAGACTTGAGGCACACACAGGTTGCCAGATTGAGGACACCAACAGGAACGAGCGCACTTGACCTTGACGATAGTCCCTTATCTAAAATGTAAATGTTAATTCTTATCTCAGGTCAATTAAATATTAAAGATATAACTTTAATAATGTATTAGTTAATATTGAAATGAACATTTACTAAGATTAATAAATGTTTTATAAGTATTTTTCAATGTTATCAAAAGTAGTGAACTAACTTTAACAAATTGAACCTTAATGTAAAGCGTTATCTATTTCTCTGTCATGAAATGTTGAATTGCTCAGAATTGTTTATAGAACCACAGTTCAGCTCCCCCAAAAAAAGACAAATTATTGTTGCTCGTCTGCCTCTCTTGCAGAGCACATTTGATCGGCACCCTTCCTCATGTGAAGATGATTGATTTCAGCGCGGTCACCAAACAGGAACGGGAGTTGACTTCAGTTTGGCAGAGGAGCAGAAACCCACACAAATCCATGAGTCACAGCAAAGTGGACTGAACCTTCTCCACCCGACATCCTGATACTCTAATAAACATAAATGTGGCGTTACAGCTATGTGAGGTGACTTTAAATGATAAACTAGGTTCCTCCAAAACTGTAAGAAAGTTACAGACCTGGAGTTACTTTAGTCAGCCAGAGTGTTTCTTCATCAGTTGATGATGAAGCCACATGATTAAGTGGTGAAACATCTTAAGCAACAGAGAAATGTCCATTTGTCTAGAAAATCAGTTTCTTTGAGAATTGCAGTAAGCAATTCAAGAATGGATGAACAAAGCATTCTCATTGTACACCAATGTATGTCTGCTACACATGGACTAAGACAAAATTTTAAAAAAGCAACACTTTATAATTTTGAAAGTCTTTAATGCATAATTCCATTCAACAAAAACAGTTTTAAAAGAATATTGTGATTAATTTTTTTGGTACTAGCCTAAGAAATGTTTTCTCTGTAAATCAGGTAGTATTCCACATTTAGGTAACAAACAAACAAACTTGAACACTATTAGTACACTGCAACAGAAAACAAAATATTTGCAGCGCATTTTATCCCTTTAAAAACCTCAAAGAAAGACTAAAGTGCCTTGCCATGATCTAGAGAGCTAATTGTGCCACACTGGTCTGTGAGCTTGCATAAATACATAAAATCAAAATAAATAATTACACAAACATACTGTGTGGCATTTCTGGAAAGAACACTAGTTGTTTTAATTCACTAGTTCTTTCCATGTTTTTCGGCACAACAGCAAAAAGTTAGATGGACCAAGTTAAAGCAATGTAATAATATTTTTTTATTATCTTAAAAGTGGAACAGGCAAGGTAAAAGCATCCCCGTTTGCTTAGCTAAAAACAAGCTATCGATCGCAAAGCCTTACGACTAAGGCATAATGCAGCCAGGGGCCGCCGTAGAGCCGTTTACCCTTCGTATTAATCATTCATCTCGAATCATTTTACACTCTGTACATTAAAGGCATTGACATAAAAACATCATTTACAAACTACGAATTCCAATTCAAACCCGCCTCCCCATCCAAAACATTCAGAGTTGACAGCATGATTATTTGATAGACAGGCCACACTGTTCTGGCTCGGTTTAACCGGGGTTCGCCTTTTCCGTTACGACTGCATGACCATTTGAGGGATATAGGAAAGGTGCATGGTAAGAGAAACACTTTCTCTTCCGTTAAAAGCAATAGCAAAGCCACTTCAGAGGATTCAAAATTAATTACATTTCTGATGTGACACGGCGCATCCCGTGATATTTACCATCCGCCATAAAAACTTTGCTATTGTAAAGACTGTAAAGTAAGTCTGTCCAACACAGCTTTGTTTTCATCTGCGTAAAAATTCAATATGGCATCCAACCTGATTACGATCTATTGGCAAATAGAGGTGAACGATTAGGAAAAACCACAAATGAATGTCTAAAGTTGCAGGACATCCCATGCTTTCAGCTCTTGGGTAGTTAACATTGATAGACTCAAATCTAAACCAGTTGAAAATCTATTTAAAAGAATTTCAAGCAGATCAGCCACAGAAAGCAAATGAGTTAAATAAAGAATTAAAAATAATAAAACGATGGTTAATGCAACATTACATGCATGTTACTCTGGTTAGACAGAAGTATTATTTATGTTGCCCATATTAATCCACATCCCAATCTGAGAATGCATTAGAAATAATGAACTCTAAACCACAGTGATTCAAGAATACTACAGGAGAATTAATTACATTACTGAACCATTACCTACGTGTTAAGATGACCCAGGCAAACTAAGTAAATATACGATTAACTTTAGTACAAGTATAAGAATAATTGAGAAGTCTGGATGTGCTACTTGGTTTAACAATCTCCAACTAATCAGGAAACTGAAAAGCCAAAAGAAGAAGAATCAACAAGAACGAATAAAACGAAACAAAAGCTCACCAAAGCAATCGTAGCAGCTTGACGCCGTTGAGTTTAGCATTTCTGATGTATTTGGTGAAAAAGGGTTTGATTAATGCATGAAAAACTACCAGTAACTAATCAAATGCAACTCGTCAAAGCAAAGATAGTAGATCAGATGTTTTTACCCTCTGGTCTCTCTGCCGTGGCGGGTGACGGATTTACACAAGGAGCTCTGGTTGGGGTGAATTATATTTATCTGCAGGGCATTCAGAGAACAAAGACATGGGCGTCTGCATCTCAAGAAGTTTGGAAGGAGAAGGGAGGAGTGAAAGGGCTAGAAAGAGAGACAGAAACAGAGGAACTGGGGAGGAAGGAGGTCCATCTTTTGAATCATGGTATAGCAAACTGTACCACCAGCTCTTCCTTGGCATCTACTTTGATTTGTGAGATGGCGCTGTAGGCGTACGCAGCAATCTTAGAAACCTGTGGAGGAAAGAAAAGCAATAAATTAAAACTCCAAATAATATGCATAATGTCTAGTGACAGACCAATACATCGACTGATATTCATCACATCGCCAAAAGCCTGATCAATGAAAAATGCACAATTTATGTTATCATTTTTTTACACTTATGTACACTACTGCTCAAAAGTTTGCAGACACTAAACGTTTTTGAAAAGAAATTAACACTTTTATTCAGCAAGGATGCATTTCAATTATCAAAAGTGACAGTAAAGGTATGTATAATGTTAAACAAGATTTCTATTTCAAATAAATGCTGTTCTTTTGAACTTTCTATTCATCATCATAAAAAAGAAAAAACGTTTTACAGTTTCCACAAAAATATTAAGCAGCAGCACAACTTCTTAATATATAAAACATTAATATAGAACACTGAAATAGAAAACCGTTACATTAAATTCTAATTTCACAATATTACTGTTTATACTGTACTAAATGCATCCTTTGTGAACATCATCATCTTTCCAAAATATAATTGTAAATAAATTCCTATTGAACCTCAAACTTCATTACAGTAGCGTATATATAGATTTATGCGTGTATCTTTAAATAAAAAAGTATAAAAACAGCTGTTTATAGCATATATGCATACATTTTAACTGCTACAATTAAACTGCATTTGTTTATTTATATATTGGAATATATATTGCATATTGACTGAATTGATCTCTAGTTTTCACTGTCTGTGAGCAATCACTAATAATTTCCACACCAGGCCTTCGCATGCCAAACACAGTCTAATATACATTGAGAGGGTTATTTAATAACAGAGTCTGACCTGCTGTACATCAGCGTAGGGGACCAGGTCAGCGGCGAGCACCTGGTGAGGTTGGCTGGTCAGTGATGGAAGAGGAACGGGCTTCTTCTGAGACAGCGTTCTGCTCAACACCTCCAGCTTGGTGCTTTAACACCAACGCACACGATTCAGCTTAAACATAACCTATGTGCAAATCTTCACCAGCTCAAAAAAACGGACACATGTAGGCCTGTCGCAATAATCAATATATCGACTTATCGCGTAATATATGTACATGACCTCA